AACCCAGTTAAAGATCCTCTTTAAAATTAAGACATGTTCTCTTCTAGATTTGATCCTCAAGATTGTGAACCAAATCACTTCAAGAACATCTTAGGAACAAGTGATCTGCATCCTCGGATATCGGACCCCCCAAATCAAAAACAACTTATCAGGAGTAATTTCTAACAATCCAATTAGACCCACTTTCATCAGTCCCATAAAAGACACAAACAACTGAAAATCCATTGATTCTTAAACAACAACCAAACTAAGTACTAAGATCAATAAACCAAAAACAAACAATCAATTTTACAACAAACAAGTAGAGACAAAACCAAAGAACCAATTAAAAAAAAAAAAAAAAAGTGCATATGCATTGTTAAGCAAATTCAAAAGTGACAGCATTGATGAAATTACCTCATTTGATGCTGTAATCTGTAAAAAGAGAGATAAAAGCAGGGAGAAAAGAAAGGGCATGGTGGTTTTCAGGCTGCCTTTGCAGCTTCAGAACCTTTGACTATGGAGGAAAATTTGTATGGTTATCTGTTTTCTTCTCCCCTTTGGACATATTTAACCTCGAAAAATTTCGAGGCTTTGCGGCTGTTAACAATGGCAATTTCGTCATTGAGTCAACGGCGGCAAAAAAGCACATTTAAAAGAATATGCGCTTAGTAGGGAGGAGGTGCCATTGCCATGTAATGGAAAAAAATAATGGAAGTGTTATCATTTTTCCAGTTATATAAATTGGGCTTGGTATTTACCAGAAAAATTATTGGGTTTGTTTGGGCTCACATTTCAAAGGAAAGACAAGAGATTTGGGCCGAATACTAAAAAGAAAAAGAAGGGCTTGGGCTCACAGAGACAACGTCCTGAAAAGCTGAAACTAAAACAGTTTTATTGAAGAGATTAAAATTAAAATATTTTACTCTTTTTTTAATGAAAATTTATTAAAATAATGTAATTTTAACATTTTTTTTACCTTTTTTTTAATTTAGTTAATAAATATTTTTTTAGTATATCTGATTATGAGTTATATAAGAGAGAATGACCATCTCTTATTCCCAAATCTCTCTCTACTTGATTAAAGATTCAAATTTAAGATTTTTAATTTTTAATTTTAAATTTTTAATCATTGAATCATTGTATTGAGGTTGGTTAATAAACATTTTTTTTTATATAGATATATACTACTGATGCTTTTCGGGTCAAAAGCTTCTTATAAATCTTATTAACTAATG